AAAAAAAAAAAAGATTGAAGTGTTGTAATATTAAATGCTGTTTCTGTAAAAACATTATTTTTTGAAGCTTGTGGTACTAAATTAATCGTTTTAGTTGAAAGTTCATCAAAAGAAAAATCTTTTGAAGCAAATTTTTTACAGTCTTTTTTGTTATACTGACAGAACTTCAGGCGTTTTAGAAAATAGCCCTGTTAAGTGACAAATAATTTCAACAATTTAACAACTTGAAGGAGTTCATATTTAAGGATATTTTTCTTAGATTTACGTCATATGGTCAGTTCTTAGTGACCATTATAACACCATCTGTACGTGGTCAATTACTGATAAAAAAGCTTATCTTTTTCTTTCACGCTCTCTGATCAAACTTTTCAAGCTGAGCGAGAAAGAAACCTTTAAACTGTCATATAGCAACAGAAACACCAATTTATTATACAGTCATGAAACTTGCTAAATTTATGGTAAATTGCTTCATTGAAACTCATCTGGTTAGCTTACACTTTCGCCAGCATAGAAGTCATTCATATGACGGATAGCAAGACAAAAAATGATGCATATAATCAAAATTATCCATACTGATGACGTATCAACAGATGCAGCTTCATTTATTGCATTGCGAAGGTTTATTGTGGTATATCGAAGCTGAAATTTTTCACTTCAGCACTCCCTTTCTTAGTTGTATAATCATAGATATAATTAGAAAAAAATGTGAAAAAAGGAGAAATTGAAACCCAGAAATTAGTTTACAAGATTACAGTTAGCAGAATGTTATTAACAATAACAATAATTATAAAGTAAACTGAGGAAATAATTTTTCTGATGATTACCGTTGAGTTAAACGCAGAATTCATTACACTACAAATTCCGGTCTTAATTTATTCAGCGATATATTAAGACTGAGAAAAAGAATAGAAGGAAAAGAAGCAAAAAAAAACCTGTAAATTACTGACATGTTTGTTTTATGCCAATGACAGTTATTGATCTGCAGATTCAGTAGAATTCAATAAATATTTTCTGTAAACTTTTACCAAATTCTTGAATCGGAAAATTCGTCAACAAACATTTCATCTGTAATCAACGTTAGTGGCACTTGTTGGCTAAAAACAAAGGCAGTTTTAACAGATGGAGAAAAAGACAAGAAGGTTTCTCCCAGTAGGATTCAACGGCTGAATTTTTTACTTTAATTTCGGTTGTATGAATTATCCTTAAAATATTGAAACTACTTTTATGGCTGTCACATTCATTGTAATCTGTTTAT